TTTTGTCCTATTTTTGCAGTTATTTTACTTAATGAAGATAAACTGTCCTTACAAATTTTACCTTTTTAAGAATTAAATTGGAAATGCTGAAATCAGAATATATGTAATCAAATTTTCAATTTGTACACTTCAAATTTGGATAAGAATACAATCGCTCACTACAGCGAAAGAACAAGCATTTCTCATTTGAGGCATTTTGGACCTTGAGTTGATTGCAGTGATTAAAGACTGATAAGATTTGAAACTGCAAATTGTCTATAAAGGAGCAAGATTTATGATGCAGAGGAAACTTCTTTCCACCATCAATTATTTAATGAGTAAAGAATTTATAGCATTACTGTCAAATTTTACTTTCAAAATTCCAAAGGAGTTAAGAGGCTGGTATAGGGATTTCTGTCTGTTTTGTAATATTTTTCTTACAGAACCAAAATATTTTGTGCTGTACTTCAAGTAGATGATATTCCTCCAATATCTGGATTCTGGAACAAAATAATTTTTTTAACTTCAAAGTTAATATGTTTATTTATTGAGAACATGAGTTAATGTTTTGGTGGAATCATCATTAAAGTTCCTGCCAATGGATAGCATGCTGATTGTTTCTGGTGTCCAAAATGTATGATAAACCAATTTTCAACTAGTAATTTAAATAGATGATTAGTTCTTATATTTTAAGATTGCATTACACTTCAAAAAAATTTAAAATATATAATTGGATTTCAATGTTACAGTTTTCAGTTAGCTCCATAAGAGTATGAAGACAATTGTGATTGTTGAGTTATTTGACTACGAAAGGGGAACTGGTGAAGTAAATGCAGGGTATTCTTATGGAACACCTATTAATGACTTGTTATCCTGACTATTTGAGATAGTTTGTTGCACAATGCCCTGACAGCATAACTTTATTGTATATTTGGTATATTGTTTCTCCAACAAAGTGGAGTGCATTGTATTACCGTTATGTCAACATGATTAATGTATTTTCGCAGACCAAAATTTTTGAGATGTAGGAATCAAATTGAACTTCGCCTGCACAGTAACATAAATGTAAATTAGAAAACTACTTCTTTCAGGAGTATGACTCTACATTGCAAAATGTTTCTCTTCATATTAGTGGATAACCAGTACAGCAATTTAATATGCTATTTTATAGTCATAATTATGTATCAAAATTTTTTTTATTGTCAAGCTCACAGGGGTAATATCATGGGCAAATAGAAAATGGGAGCAGGCCTATTTAGCCTGCTCAGCTTTATTAGTTTGCAGCTGATCTTGTAGAATCCCCACAATGTGGAAACAGGCCATTGGGCCCAACATGTCCAAGCCAACCCTCCAAAGAACATCCCACCCCTACCCACGACCCTAACCCTGCATTTCCCATGGCTAATGCACCTAACCTACACATCCCTAAACTATGGGCAATTTAGCATGGCCAATCCACCTAACTTGCACATCTTTGGACTGAGAGGAAACCAGAGCACCTGTTTGAAATTCACACAGACACGGGGATATCCTGCAAACTCCACTCATATAGTTGCCCGAGGTTGGAATCGAACCTGGGTCCCTGGCACTGTGAGGCAGCAGTGCTAGCTACTGTGCTGCCCATCTACCCCTATCTTCCCCACAGTATCTAAATACCTTTGAACCTAATTTATAAACAAACAGCAGATTTCCAGTGGAAATAGTTACCCGAAAGGAGGCACTTGCACAGATCCAGATGCTCAATGTAGAGTGGGATTGCTTTAACTGTTTGAAACTCTATGGACAATGAGAAGTGGGTCTAAATAAGGATCAGGAATTGGCACAGGCTTGATGGGCTGAAGCACCTTTTCATGTGCTGTATTTTTCTTTGTTCCTTTTATTCATTGAAAATTAATTCTGACTGATGTGTTTGTAAGACTTCATGAGAACCAAGATAGGCAGAGAAATTATCCTTTCACAATAACTCATTTATCCAGAGTCACATTAGAATGGAATATCTGTCAATGAGTTCATTTAAGATTTTCTGTTATAGGTGGGCAAAGTGAATATGTATTGGCAATCCTGCAAACACGTGCCTTAGTAGTCTATTTTTGTGCTAATAACTTTTCTTTGGGCTATTTGGGGATTTGTGGTGCCCTTTGCGAATGTGGCACTTGGTAGTAGTTTTCCTAGTATCACTTTATTGGCTCAGAAATAAAGTTCACGTGAAGTCTGCTAGAGATGGTTAGGAAAGTGCAGCGATACTGTTGCAAAGTACCTACGACTCTGCCAGATGGTAAAGCAAAAGTTAGTAAGACAATCCCCCTTGCTCCTAGTAGACAACCTATTTTCGATCTTTACACTTCTTATTAAGATCCTACGCAGTATAGAACATAGAACATTACAGCGCAGTACAGGCCCTTCGGCCCTCGATGTTGCGCCGACCTGTGAAACCAATCTGAAGCCCATCTAACCTAAACTATTCCATTATCATCCATATGTTTATCCAATGACCATTTAAATGCCCTTAAAGTGGGCGAGTCTACTATTTTTGCAGGCAGGGCATTCCACGCCCTTACTACTCTCTGAGTAAAGAACCTACCTCTGACATCTGTCCTATATCTATCACCCCTCAATTTAAAGCTATAATTTATCTCTGTTTCAGCTCATCATTAGCTATCTCTTTCTGTATCCCTTCTCTCTCTGGGCCCTGTCACCACGTGTATTCACTCTCCTCCCCCAACCCCGCACCACCGTAAACCCCATCCTTTCCCAACAATTTTCAGTTCTGACGAAGGGTTACTGGGCTCTAAATGTTAACTCTGTTTTTCTCTCTACAGCTAAATTTCATGTCTTGGCACCCTTATGAGTAGGCAGGGAGAGGGAGCCCTTTTGGCTCGGCTTCCAAGTGTAAGTCAACGAAATTTATTGCTATAATGCTAGGAATGTAAGAAAATCAGCTCAAAACCAGCAACTGCTAGAGAACCACAGAAGACTGCATCTGTGGAGAGAAAACTCAGTTAACATACTGAATTTAGTGATCCTTCTTCAGAAGATAATCGGTTGCTTTTCTTGAGTACGTCGTTCTTCTTTTCCACTACTATTCTTCTCTCAATTGTCTTGCATCTAGGACATGGGAGGTTCTAAGTGGTTTTCAATATCACTTAACGCCTGGAATGAGTCTCTATAATTCGACCTCCAACCTACAACTATCATTTCGCCTTTATCTCACTCATAGCGCCGCCTGCAGGCTGTCGCTACCCTCCCTGTCTCAGTCATAGCGCCGCCTGCAAGCTCGGAGGGACAGTGTTGGGTTAATAGTGTCGAACGTGTTTGAGGCATTATCGCTGTCACCAAGGTAACCGGCAAAGAGGTCGGGAGGCGTTTGGAAATCGGCAGTTTTTATGGATCAGGAGGTGGAGGTGGAGGTGGATAAGCAGCGAGCGGCTGGACGCTCGGGCTCGGAACTAGTGATCAGGCCTGATGGAGGGAGCGGGAGCCCGGGCTCGGGGCCATTGGTCGGGCCTGCCGGAGGGAGCGGGAGCCCGGGCTCGGAGACGGAGCCAGTGCAGAGCTGGGTGATGCAAGAGAGTGCACAGGAACTGGCGGCGTCTCTGGGAGCTGATCCCTGTCCGGAGGTAGGTGCAAGCAGTCAGAGCCCATTCGGGATGAATTCAGCATCCATCTTAAAGTATTAATTTAGTAGAGCTCATAACTTAAAAAGAATTAATATATTGATATAAAAGCAATATTTGTGATCTCGTGTAGTTTGTCTTTAATTGCATTAGGTTGAAAGTTAGAATACCATGCAAAAATGTTCTGGTCCTAATCAGACATCTGTACAGTTTCGCTCGTAGCAGTCATCAATGATCTAAAATGCCAACGACATTTATTTCATCCTTCTGGTGTAAAGATCTTGAAGGTGATTTTTATACTGCAGTTCTAGCATTATTGTGGATTTACAATATATTTGATAGGACAGTTACCCTACAGGTTAAACACAGGTAAACTGGTCCTTCATTATCTCACAGATAGCAAGAAGTGCAGATGCTGGAGTCAGAGATAACACAGTGTTAAGCTGGAGGAACACAGCATGCCAGGCAGCATCAAAGGAGCAAGAAAGTTGACATTTTGGGTCAGGACCTTTCATCAGAAATGTGGGAGGGGAAAGGGAGCTGGGAAATAAACAGAGAGGAGGGGTGGGGCAGTGTTAGGTGAGTGCAGGTAGGCAGTGGTGGGGATTGGTCAGTGAGGTGGGAGGAGCGGATAGGTGGCCTCATTCCATGACCAACCCTCCCTCTCATCCCCACCTCCTTGACCTGACACAACCTGTCTTCTCCCCCACCTATCCGCCCCACCCATCCCACTGACTAATTCCCACCATTCCCTACCTGCACTCAACTATCACCATTCCACCTACCTTCCCCAGCTCCACCTTCCTTCTCTCTCTATTTCTGAGCCTCCTTCCCCCTCCCCATTTCTGAAGAAGGTCCCGACCGAAACATCAACTTTCCTGCTCTGATGCTGCCTGGCCTGCTGTGTTCCACCAGCTTCACACTTCATTATCTCACTGCTGTGGGACCTTGGTGCACTAATTGGTTGCAACATTACAACAGTGATTAGAATTAAAAATGTTTAAAGCCCTATAGCACAACTAGAAGTTTGTAAAGGTGCTGCAAAATTATTAACAACAAATATTGACATAACGCATTTAATATTATAAAATTTCCAAATTGCTTTCACAGGAATATTTTAAGTAAAGTATCGCACTGAGCCACACAACAGGACAGTCAAAAATAAAGGAGTAGGTTTTGAGGAGCATCTTTAAGAAAAAATTATCGTAGGGGATAAAATGTGTACGGTGGGAATTCAAGAGTTTAGGGCTACCCAATTAATGATGTGCACCAGTGATGGAGCATTTTAAGTTCGAATTAGATGAACACATATCTTAGATGATTATGGAGGTGGAGGAGATTATGGAGATGGGGAGTGATGAGACTATGGAGGGATTTGAAAACAATGATGAGAATTTTATCAAAATAGCCATTGACGTGAAGCCATTGTAGGTCAGTAAGCATGGGGTGATAGTTGAATGGGAGCTGCAGCAGGGATGAAGTTGTACCGTATTACAGAAGTTGTAACTCGGGGTCTTGGTGATGACACAGCTTGTTTGTTTGAAAGCTTAGTTCAGGGTCATATTACACCCTGTCGCTAACCGTCTGGGCTAGGATTATTGCCAGAGAGAGGGGGAATGGGATTTGAAGTGGGAACCAATGACATATCTTAAATCTTTTCAATATTTAATTGAATTGGTACTTACAATGTAAATACTAATTTTTACTTGGAAGAAATTGTACTTTTCTGGTGGTGGATGTCAGGTAAGCAACCTATTCAGTTAGGAATCAAGAATTGGAAACAATGTAGGACTAAGTGTTGCCAGTGTACATGTGAAAATTAATGCTGTGCTTTTGGATGTCATCAAAGGGGATCATGTAAGTGGCGTTTAGAAGATGGCCCAAGGATAGATCCTTGGCCAACACAGAGATAGCAGGAAGAGTGGATATTACAAATAATACTCTTTCTATGGTTACAGTAGTTAAGAATGGGTCTAGAAAAAATAATCCCATCAAGCCAGATTACAGTCAAAGGCTGCAACCAAGTCTAGAGCGATGAGGGATAACTTGCATATCAACACAAGTCTTTCTATTTGAGTGAATACCAGAGGTGTGAGACTCCTGGAGAAGGTACTTTCATAATAGTTGGAAAACAGAAAATGTGAGAAACACAGTAGGCATGTTGGAAATGTGGAAAAAAGCTGATGTTTTTGATGAGCAGGCCTTTTCTGCGAGATGTTACAGATAATATTAGTCCATCAGGAATATCTGATAGTCGTGCTAAAGCATTCACACACCTGAACATTCACCTGTCTGTTTTCTGCAATTGTTTTACTTCTTGTTCATAGACTTAAATTTGACAATCAATGGGATTAACTGAAATGGCAAATCTGGTTTTAGAGGAGCTTTGGCAGAAATCGTTTGACCTCCTTGGACACTTCAGAAACCTTAGTAAAATGGTTGTTTTTAGACCTGTACTCTCAAAGCATTAAACAGTTAGAGTAAGGTGGATGTTGGGCAGAGGATAAGAAGTTTAAGGGAAGGAATTGGAAGACCCAAGCATAATTAACTCAATAGTAAATTTTTGCAAGTGTTTTTGAACAGTGGGCACGGGTACATAGCTGGTGAGGATGGAAGAAAGAAAGCAATAAAAGAAGCAGAAAATGAAACAGAAATGGCAGGAAAAGCTCAGCAGGTCCAGCAGCATCTGTGGAGAGAAAGCAGAGTTAACGTTTTGGGTTCGGTAACCCTTCTGCAGAACTGAAGCAGGATTTGATAACAGAGATGCTGAACTGGATATATGGTCAGAGGATTTCCAGATCAGGTGGGCTGAAGCAAAACCAATGGGCAGCAGGAGCTAATTGATATGAGTAAGGCCATGGGTGATGAAGTTTGTGGCACAGGAACGGTCACTGAGAGAATTCAATTGTAGCCGTGATGAAGGCACGAATGACGGGGCCGAAGAGATGAAGTATGTTGAATTGCCATATGTTTCATAGATAAGGGAAGCCAAACTTGGTCAACGGGAAAGCTTAAGATTAAACATAACTTTGAGAATGCACAGCATTTGGTTAAGCCTCAGCAAACAGCCAGAAAAATAGTATGTTTGTGCCAGTGGCAAGCCCTGAATTAGCCTGAGCAAGACCTGAACTAGTGGCCTTCAGTTTTGCTAATGTCGAGTTGTACTGTAAAAATCCTGCAACTGGAGCTACCAGTTTGATATCTGAACCAATTATTTAAATACAAAAACTTAAAACACTTAAACTTTCTGTTTTTAATTATTTTATTTAAAATTCAATTAATTGTTTAATGTTGCTGATTCATTTTTTTGTCCTACAGTATGAGACTTTTGAAAATATAATGGTTGAAAATATGTATTTGATGCAAATTTCAAAATCTTGAAGTAAGTTTTTAAGTAAGATTTGTTGATTGCTTTTGAAAGAACTATTCTATTAAATAATATTTGTAAAACGGTTAATTAAACAATGTGCTATAGCATGCATCCCCCTTGTTTGGAAAAGCATAATAAGACATTATATCATTAATAGTGCAAATATTGTTTGAAAGCTTCATTTACAGGTGTTCCTAACCATTTATAATTAGTTCCAAAAAAGGCGAACTTTGATGGAATTCAGGTTCTAAATTGGGACAAGGCGAATTTTGATGGAATTAAACATGAGCTTGCAGGGGTTGATTGCAGTAGTTTGTTTGCTGACAAAGGAACCTCTGGCAAGTGGGAGGCCTTTAAAAATGTGATAGCTAGAATTCAAGATCTTTATGTTCCTGTGAGGGTGAACAGCAAGGTTGGCAGGAGTAAGGAGCCCTGGATGATGAGATATATTACAAGAAAAAAGAAGGAGGCATGGATCAGAAACAGGCAGCTGGGATTAAGGGAATTCCTGGAGACGCAGAGAGGATGCAGGAGCTTACTGAAGAAGGAAATCAGGACGGTGAAAAGGGGACACGAGATAGCTTTGGCTGAGAAGATTAAGGTGAATCCAAATAGATTCTTTAAGCATATTAAAGGAAAAAGAATAATTAGACAGAGAATAGGACCTCTCAAGGACCAAAGTGGACATATATGTATGGAACTGCAGGAGATGGGTGAGGTCCTCAATGAATACTTCTCCTCTTTTTACCGTGGAGAAAGACATGTAGATTTGGGAACATGGGAAGTTAGTGGTGATATCTTGGGGACAGTCCATATCACAATAGAGGTAGTGTTGGAAGTATTAGAATGTATGAAGGTAGATAAATCTCCTGGTCCTGATCAGATATATCCAAGAACTCTGCAAGAGGCTAGAGAAGAAATTGTGGGGGGCCCTGGCTGATATATTTGCATCATCATTAGCCACAGGTGAGGTCACAGAAGACTGGAGGGTAGCATATGTTGTGCCCTTATCAAGAAGGGCTGCAAAGAAAAACCTGGGAATTATAGACCAGTAAGCTTAACATCTGTGGTAGGTAAGTTACTTAAGAAGATTCTGAGGGATAGGATATATATGCATTTAGAAAGACAGGGATTGATTTAGGAGTAGTCAGCATGGCTTCATGCGTGGGAGATCATGCCTCACAATTTGTTAGAGTTCTTTGATGAAGTGATCAGGAAGGTTGATGAGGGCAGGGCAGTAGACAAAGTCTATGTGGTTTTTAGTAAGGCCTTTGTTAGGTTCCACATGGTAGGCTACTCTAGAAGGTTAGATCGCATGGAATCCAGGAGAGCTGGCAAATTGGATACACAATTAGCTTGATGATAGGAAGCAGAGCATAATAGTCAAAGGAAGCTTCTCGGACTGGAGGCCTGTGACTAGCGGTGTGCCTCAGGGGTCAGTGCTGGGCCCATTGTTGTTTGTTATCTGTATCAATGATTTGGATGAGACTGTACAAGGCATGATTAGTAAGTTTGCAGATGACACTAAAGTAGACAGTGTCTTGGACAGTGAAGGAGGTTATCAGAAATTGCAGCAGGATCTTGATCAGCTGGGGAAGTGGGCCGAGAAATGGCAAATGGAGTTTAATATAGA